ATAACTGCAATAAGGAACCCCCCAAAATATTATATGGCCACTACACTATATCTATAGAAAGGAACGCCCCAAAATGTTATAGGTATTTAGTAAGGTGGATGGAGTCCACACCTGACATTTGGATCCCAATCCGCTCGAGCCTGGCCTTGTCAACCTTCAACCCGAACATAGGCGCCTTAATGCCCACAAAATAGTATCTGATTATTAGTAATAATCACCTACACTATTGTGGGGGTTCCTTATGATAGTTATAGTATAATACACCCCAAAACCCTATTCTATCCCCCTCTCGAGGCTGGTGTAGCATGTGTCGAGCTGGGGGTCCGCAGGAGAAGTGGGGCAAAGGAACCCTCAAGTCCGTAGAGGCCTTGTTCAAGGAGATCGAGATGCTCGTCTACTCTCAGGGTTTAGGGTTTAGGGGTTTAGGGTTTAGGGGTGCTTTCTTGGTTCGTGGGCGTGTGTGCTGCTGTTGGTCTTGGCGAGGGAGGCGGGGGTCTCGGAGGTCCTTGGCCGAGAGCTTCATGGCATTGCACCAATAGATCCGGCTGTGATTTGCAGGTTTGCCACATGCTACTAGTGTTACTACTGCTACCGTTCTTATTGTTGTTATGATTATTGCTTTGGGGCTTGATGGTAGAACTTTGGCCTCAGGAGGCCAAGGCCCAAAGCCCTCGAGCCCTCGAAGCGCCTCCTTGAAATCTCTCGAGCCCGTCGAGGAATGAGGACTCCCTTCTCGAGCTCTGGGGCCGACACGACGGAGTGCCGATGCCACCCGGGCTCCGAATTTCGATTTCTTTCCTATGTCTTTGTAATCTTGTGTCATGATGTTCTCATTGGAAAACGATAAGGTGCATTATCTTCTGTCTGACTTCAATGCTCATGGCTACAGCAACAATCTAGTTCTGCCAACATCCCACCGGGTGGTGTTACGTTGCAGCCCTTCCGTGCATGGTATGGCAGCGCCTTCAACCGTTATGGCAAAGCTGTGGGGCTCGATGGTTGCTCTGCACATGGAACAAAGCGACGTCGTCCTGATCCTAGTACATGGTCATGGATGGTACTGCAATTTCACATGACGCAAGGGCGTTTGTACCCGACTGGCCAAATCCTTCAACTACTATTTGCATCGTCGCGTGTCCAGCTGCGATCATACGGTACTGTAGCACTTTCTATAGACTAGTGGGAGTCACCATAGACTGGTGGCAGTCTACGTTCAGGGTGCGCACACCGCATCTGGGTTCAGAGGTTTGAATTCTAGTATTCGGCCACTCTCAGTCAGGCAACCTCGAAAACTCTATCCCGTGTACTCCTGCCTCTACCAGTCGGAAATCCATGGTAGCCTTTACGTAGCGCTGTCCTTTACGACGCATTGGGTTTCGATATCGGCTTCATTGCAGTCTTTCTCGGATTCTTGGCGACATCATCCACCAGGGTTTGGGCCAACCTGCTACGTTTGAAGAGATTGCGCACAAGCCGCAAAGCCTTGCTTGTTGCTAGTCGTCCTCACAAGTAGTATGCGATCCGACACCGCGGTCTCTGCAGCAGTCCTTGTAAGCCCCATGAACCGAGAAGACAAATGAGAGAAGCGAGGGCGAGCGAGCGAGGGAGGGAGGGAAGGTCACGCATGTTCAGAGAGTGCATTTTGTGCGAAGCTGTTCAGATACCGCAGCAATTTGGTTTTAGGCTGCTTTATGCATGTGATCTAGCACATCATCACATTCCGTCCCGTACAACCTCCGAGTAGATGCAGAAGCAAGTGGACATGCAGGAACTCTCAATCCCGCAGCCCTGAGATGAGTCCATCCCTTAAGAACCCAAAACCCACCTTTTTGTAGGTTCTTCTTATAAACCCTAATATTGGATGTATAGGGACCCTACAAAAAAGCAGGTTTTTTTGTTCTTAAGGTCTTGCTTCCTTGGCCCAGGCTCATGCGCGTGACCCACGTCTTGCAGCTGCGCGTGACCTCCCCGGAGCCGAGCCTGAAGGGCGCGCCGAGCCGGAATCCCCAAACGCTGCACCCCCCGGTAACCTCGTAGCGTAGCGGAGGCACAGAGATATCAATCTGGGAGTATAAGGAGAGACAGAGCCCTCGCCTGCAAAAGGCTTATGAGGCCGCTCCAAATCACGCCAATTGCTAAGAGCTGAACAATCAATCCTCCCGTCTTGTCCGGAAGACTCATCATGTCACGCAGGTTTCAACATAGTAGCACACGCACCCTGAAGGTAAGTTCCTCTTCTCCACATGGGCGGCGCCTCTGGCTGCAATGATACCATACTTCGGTGTGACTGCCGCCAGTCAGTGAGGCCTAGCCCGGGCCTACGGCCGAGACATTTTCGACCCAAGCTCTCCCAATTTCTACACCCACCGGCAAGTCGTCTTTACTGCAGAACAACCCCGAAGCCTCGGCTTCTGCGAAGCGTCCCAGGAGCTCTTGAATGGCAAGCGGCGGGTGACCCACACCCTCCCAGCGATGAAGCTGACGTTGAAGCTTGACTTTGGTCTGTGGCTTTGAAGGAAGCCTCTACAGAGAGTTTTCAGGATTGGTGGATTGGTGTGTGTGTGTGTGTGTGAACCCTTAAGGGCATGCGCCCGGCGATCTCGAGTATAGCGGCTCAGGTGTGCTTCCGGGGTGTCATGCCCCGAACATAGGCCAGGAACGAGTTTGCTTTCTTTACGGCGCAGCCACACGAGTCGGCAGGGCGCAGGTCTCGACAAGCTTGGTTTGTACTTCGATGGCCGGATTGTTCATCTGCAGGATGAAGCTTTAGGTCGAGTGCGGTGTGGTCTGTAAGGCTGCAGAGACCCCTAAGGCGAAAATTGTCGCCAGGCTCATTCTGGCTTCACGGATTGAAGCCCGTTCAGCTCTCCTCCCTCCGCATCCCTCAACCTGCTCCTCCCCCCACCCCAGGAAGGACATGCCTTACGACGAGGAGAAGTTTCGAGCCTCCGCGGCTGCCTTGGCGACCGGGTTCGCGATCAAGTACTTTCTCTTTGACTTTTTTGCCTGAACTGCCCCAAGCACTGCCGTAAAATGCTGAGGTTACAACTGGTCGAGGTAAAGGCATTAGGTTCCTGTCAGCGCGAGTCCTACGATATTAAGGGTTTCGGCGTTTTGCGAAGTTTGCGGTGTGCCAGCCACCGTCCCGTGCGTTTCCGTCTGTGAAATCGTGCTCGCACCACAGTGCCATGGGCTGGATGCTTTGTTCGGTGCTTGGGATCTATTTGTGCTTGCATAGTCTAATTTTGATACTCATCTTGTCCAGAGTCTTCGTTCCAGTTTTGTCAGTTGCGTGCTTGGTTCTCCCGACTGTGGCTACGATGGTTTCAGGGGTTTGGGCCCAGGTGACTGAGCAGCTGAACCATGTCGTGGACATCCACTACCGGAGACTATGCTGTGATTACACGGTTGCACTGCGCTGTTGTGTTGCCTTGGTTCGTGTCTTCAGCTGTTCGGAGTTGTAGAGAATTGCTCTTGTATGTGTAGGTGTAGATACAGTGCTGCAGCTGGGCTGACGCATGCGCATACCGGGACGGCTTGGCTTCTGCATGGCGAACCCCATGGGCAGACAGAGCCCGCGCTTCCAACATTCCATCTGAACGGAGAAGGCATGTTCAGTTCGTTTGGCGTCGCGTGCAAAGTCAAGTTGAGCTCAATGGGTGTGGTATTGGGGAACCGCACTTCCGGATCTCAGAAGCGCAGTCTGGTCGTAGCTTCTCAGTTTGTGAAATCAGCCCCCCAAGCGGCTCGTGTCCCTTTGGTTCGGTGTGCTGCTTTCCTGGACAAATTCTAAGCACCATGACCCTATAGGGGTATATGGTCCCGAATCGTGGATTGAACGAGGGTCGAAGAGGTTTTTAAAGGATTCCGTGAGTCCGAGCATGCGAGAGAGACTTCTCAGGATCACTCCGAGCACGCGACTCCACTGCAAGAAGTCGTGGAGCAGGCAAACACATACTGTAGTGCATCCGACTGTGCATGGTGCATATATACAGGATTAGACATCTACTTGTATATTGTATTTTTACATATGTGCAGTGCATGTATACAGATATTTATGTATGTATGCTCACAGACATCGGGCATGTTGTAAAGGGGACATGGGGTAAATCCGATGACTGAGGGTGCCTTTAGGTGTTGTAGGCTCCTCAAGTCCCAGGTCCTTGCGGGACTCGGAGCCCTCCGGTGTGCAGCTCCACGAAGTCCGTGGCTTTGGCAGCATCTCAGAAGGAGCCCTGAGCACTGAGGAGGATGTTTGTATTTTAACTCTTAGGGCTTAGGGGGTTCCTTTCCTTTGCAGGGAGGTTGTGCCAGAACAGTCGCTGGAAAGGGCTCAGAACATGTTCCAAGCGCAGGGGAGGGTATAATACAGGATTTACAGCTCTCACGATTGGGCCACCCGAGTCTGACAGCCTGCCCTGACGTTTGCCCCGCGGTGTCTGAGACTTCGTCGAGCAGCGGCACGACGTCGAAGAATCTCCGTCCTACAGGCCGGGTATCTTCCCCAAGAACCCCCCAGGTACCTACTGTATAGGTACTAGAGTCTTACTAGAGCCCCTAGGGCCCTTTATACCAGGTACCTGGGGCGTGGGCTAGGGTTCCTCAAGAGCTCACTGAGCATTCCTGAGCCCTGTCATCATCTTCTGCTGGGGTCTTTGAGTTAGCCACATGTTGCCGGACGGTTGTAGGAACTGAGAGCTTGAGTTCGAGGTTCGGCGAGTTGCATGATTGCACAGTGCATGATTCAACACTTCCTGCTCTGATCAGCAGGGAAAAATCTATTCTGCTCCGGTGGCGTATCCTGCAGTGCGAGAAACCTCCAATACAGCAGACAAGCAAAGGAACGGCAGGACCATGAGCTTTAGCCAAGCCTTTTGGAGCACCGCCTGGCTCCTGTGTTTGGGGTGTAAGTTATTTTCACCTCGCAGGGGGCTCTTCACCATGTACCACCTCTACTGCATGGAAGCCGAGTGCTCAGGCCAGCCCCTTTCCAAGTTGCTCCATGTGCCGAGATCTGAGCTTACTAACATTTATAATGTACTGTAAGATACGAGAACTATAATATACCATGGTTACCTATAAAATACTAAGAAGCACATGGCATTGATCACGTCGCAAGACCCTCAACCTCTCATTGTGTCTCGAAGGGCTCCCACCCGCCGAGTCTTGCGGAGATCACATCTCTCAACATTCATGCCACATGGAATGATCCATGATCCGGTGACGCTGGTCTGTCCCAGTTGGGGTGGAGTCCAGTCAGTGTGACGCCAGGCCTGCCGATCAGTGATTTTGCCTCAATGGACCTCAAGGCCAGGCCAGAACGAATTGTAATATAGGAGCCTCAGTAATTCCCTATACTATTTTGGGGGTTCCTTGTTATAACTATAGTATAATATACCCCAACACCCTATTCTAATTATTATACGGCCCCTACATCACGCCGCCTGTTCTGCGTTTGTCTGCCTGCGCATCTGAGCATAGAGAACTCTGCAGTGTTCGGCTTGTGCCAAGGACCATGTCGAGTTTTTCCCTTTCATTTGCGAATCGCATCGAATCGAGAGCTCATCTCCAAGCTCAAGCCCACAACAATCATTTGTAGCGCATGATCCACTTCTTTGATCTGATTAACGAAGATGCACAACCGCGGCCTTGCATGGGCCCAGAATGAAACCTGTTCCGATCAGCTAAGTCCCATTCGAAGCGATCGATCTGACAGGACGGCAATATCTACAGCCTCAAGGGTTGGTCCTGGTCTTCGGCCCAGCGCGTCATGGCCCCTTAGCCCTCAAGAGATTGAGATTCAAGAGGGCGCTGCTTCTTTTCCGGCCTGCGGCCTGGTCTTCGGGCTTTGAGTCTTTGTTGACTACATGGAACAGGCCTGGAGAGGGTCAGACTTTTCCGCTTGAAGCTACAAGTCCAGCACCCCAGCTGATTGACATCCCAATATCAATAACCATTGCAGAATTATCTCGGAAGGCCACACCGAGACAGTCGACGGACTTCGCGATGCTTTGAGCCTTCCGCGCGTCATCCAGAGCATAAAACTACAGCTGGATTCATTGCCAGCATTGCGATGGTCCAAGGATATCATGCGCCATCGATCGCTAGTGATTGAGCGCGAGCAGGCCGGTGAAGTGGCCAAGAAGCTGCATGTTCAGGGGTTCCTTATTGTATGTATAGTATAATGGGCCCCTCAAACCCTATTCAAATTATTAAGTCCCCTATATATTATTGATCCTTGGATGTTACTGTTCTGGACTGGGCTTGATTTGAGACTTCCGGCACCTTACGGCGGCAGTGGAGGGCACCTGTGGGGCCCGAAAGGCACCGAGGCTACGACCTTGGGACCTGGGGGTCGAAGGGGCACTTGCTCTGCATTCTGCCAAGAGCACGACAGCCCACAACGACGGTTTAGTGTTTAGGGTTTAGGGTGAAGAAATGTCATGTAAAGTTCTGAATTGGTGCAACCTTGCGTCCAGTGGAAATCAATCCGCGAAGCAGGTGGGTGCAACTTCAGCATATTGTCTGCTAGCGGTGTGGACATGAAGTTTGACCGTCAATTTGAATCTTCAGCGTGCAGCAGCCTACATGTAAGTAGGCTTAGTGCCTCCTCTTCCTGACGAGAGTAAAGGCATCGGACTGCGGGGTCTGCATGTGTTGCACCGGAAGCCGGAAAGCAAATCTCAGACGAGCCAGACCATAAGCCAGCCCATGATGAGGATGATGATGAAGATGACGGCTTGATCAAATTACCGTGGCGACAATAATGATGATGATGGTGAAGCTGATGATAACCATGGTAATTATAGATGAAGAGGAAGAAGAAGAAGATGATGATGATTATATGCTCGTCATCTCGGGCCGGCACAAGCTGCTGCTCGAATTCTCATCTAAGTCATGGTGTTTGTTGATGATCTGCGCCGGCTTGCGCTGCTGCTGTCGTTGTTGGTTGTTGTTGCTGAGTCGGTCATGCTGTTCGCCCCCATGAGACTATGAACATCCTTTTGGCCGACCCGGCCTGCGGACAAGGCGGCCGCCCATGCGAAGTGGAGGGACGCAGGTCAGACCTGTCTCGACTGCGTTGGCAGGCGCCATGGGGCTTATGTGCAAGGGCTACTAGAATTGACTTATTATCGAATCTATCGTCGTACCACCATGAGAAAGGGTACTTGGGGGGTCCTGGTTGGGCCTGTATTAAGCATAGCAGTCAGAGGGCGTCTCGCTTCCTAGACACCTTCATGTTTTTGTGCATATCAATGTCTTGAATACTGACAGACCCTCAGATGCTCAGCTTGTTGAACATGGCAGCCTGGCAGTCTGAATGAATGCAATGCAATTGCGGATTCAAGAATGCAACGGGAAGTCGCACATCGTACAGAAACATGCCGTACCATACAACGCATGCAAGCTGGATCTTGAGCTTGCTTGCAGCTTGTGGATTGCTGGAACCAACGTCGTCAGCAGACAAGCAGGGTCTGGGGCTACCCCTGAGCCGATCAACAAGCTATGAAGCTCAGGCAAGAAGGGTGACTTTGGTTTTCCGATTATACGTATAGTATAATTTACATAACCCAAAACCCTGGTCTAGCAAGCCACGAGCAAGTCGCGCAAGACCCACAAGCCTAACTCTTGGTTGACAGCATCTTTGCTGGGGGTGGAGTTTGAAACTACTGTAGCCCCGCCCTCATGAATTTTGGATGAACGCCAGACTCATGCAGAAAGGCAGTGTAAATGCCTGTCATCTGTAGTACTGCTTGGGCACAGAACGCCGTTGTGTAGGGCACGGGTGGGCTCTGTCAGAATCCATGGACCTCCAAGCCATCCACAGGCTCGACGAGCTGCTGAATCGGCTCTCACCCTCCGACGGCTCGGACGGCAACGCTGCGCGGGAGTTGCTGCGGCGTGGCTTCGAAGTGGCCGTTGTTTCTTTGCACAGACTAGCTGTCGGTACCCCCATCACGACAACGGCTGGTGTGAACAATGGCATTATCCGTCGTCATCTAGCCATCAGGAGCACCAGAAAAGTCATTGTCATGGCCATCACCATCCATCTACATCTGGTATCCGCAGGTGCTGCTTACCGCTTCGTTTACAGTCATTGCTGTATCTGAATCATCACAACCATCATCATCATCACCACCACCATCATCATCATCATCGGCAGCATTATCACCAGCATCATCGTCGTCACCAGCAGCAGCATCACCATCACTATCATCGCCATCATCATCATCATCGTCGTCAGTGTCAGCATCATGACTATCGTTTATTGACACGAACAGCCTGATGAGTGGTGACCCTTACACCACTGCCTGCATCTTCACTAATCGCCGTGGTGATCCTGGTCATGTTCTCGCAGTCGTGGTCGCAGTTGTTGCCTCTGCATTGCTACCCATCCCGATTCCCGCTGTCGTAATCTCTCTCACTACTATCGCTGTTGATGATGACGGTGAAGATGATGATGATGATGAGTAGCGGTATTATGGTATTGGCTTTGGGGCAGTATGAAGGAGGCGTGCATATACGTATGACCAAGTCTAGCGCAAACGTAACTCCAATTTTTTTGGCTGAAGGGCCTTGCAGCCTGGATCTCAGTTCCCTTGAACCCGAAAGGTTGAAAGGTGGGGAAGGGTTCGCAGCTTTCACCAACAGCTACGCTGCGAAACTCTCGTTCGACAGACTGTTGAAACCCAGACCCAAGCAGCAGAGTTCAGCTATTCAAACCCGAGAAGCCACTTCTGCCAAGGAGCCAGTTGGAACGTACCTTGATGGATGCTTCCGTGACTTGTTGCGCACAGCCTGTCCTCCAAATACACAAGTACTTCTAGAATCCTTTGCAATATCATTGCTAAATTCAAAGCTTCTGTCAGAATCAACCCCACCAATAAAACCTGAGACTCCTGGGACCGTGTAATGGGTTTAACGGGGCAAAGTTTGGGAGCGGGTTTCCACATGAGTCTATGGCACTCAAAACGCACAGCAAGTCTCATAGCTGTTGATGTTCTCTGCCACTTGTTACCAAACATGAGATGTCCTGACGATTACTACTACTACTACTACTACTACTACTACTACTACTTACTACTTACTACTTACTACTTACTACTCACTACTCACTACTCACTACTCACTACTTACTATTTACTACTTACTACTACTACTACTACTACTACTACTACTACTACTACTGCTACTACTACTACTACCACCTCTGCCTACCACCTACTACCTACTACCTACTACCTACTACCTACTACCTACTAACTACTAACTA